GTTTTATTAAATTAGAGTAGTTTATCCTGTTATTAATCCACAACCATAAATCTACATGGCTTTGAAAAAAAAACAATTATTTTTTATTATTCATTAACAGATTCTATATAATTCATGTACAAAAGTATATATTTATTAAATTTCTCTCTTAATAAATTTCCTGAACACTATAAAATATTAATAAACTGGAAAAAAATCAGAAATTGTTTTGTTATGCAATGAAAATTATTAAAAGAAAAATGATAAATAATACCATTTAAATTATTTATCATTTTGTGTACTTTCTAAATTTTTGGGAAAATTGTGTGTAAACTTGAGAGAAATTTTGGATCCTGAAAATATTCTGCATCCCTTTTTGTAAGTTGTATTGCACCACATTACTTCTTGCTGTCTGCCGACGGCTACACTTAGTCAAGCATATTGTCAGCAAAAAATCAAACAAGACAGCCAAAGAAGCAAATTCCCTTATTTTTTGAGTATTTTTAACAAATTCCCCAACATTCCATGACTTTTTCTGAACATTAATGAAAATCCTTGGACTTTCCCCGATTTTCCAGATATATAGGAATCCTGTATATATTTAGTTACACGTTATCTTTTCTTATTATTAAATGTATAAAATAAAATCTAATTTATTTAAAAAATATTCAAAAATTTGTCAATTGTTCATACATTTTAATAATTTATAATAAATAAAATTTTTACCTGTGTTGGTGTAAGAGAGTATATCGTGTAACAGTTAGGTTTCAAACATAACTGTAGATTGTCTTTTATACTTCTGAATAATGAGGATGGACCAGATTCTTCTTCTCCTGTGTATATAAATATATTTGGCGGCTTGGAAGATGCATCAATTTTAGGAATATTATTTGTTATAAAAATCATTTCATCTAAATCAGGAATGGGCGAAAAAGAACCTTCTGCCATTGCTTCTCCAGCTAGAAAAGTTTAAAATATAAACTAAAATCACATCGATTATAAAAATAAAAAATATCTACAAATTTTAATAGAAATTTTTAAAAAATTATTTAAAAAACAGTACGAAATGTTATACTGAATTGTTAATGTTGGAAGTTATTTTAATCTATAATTTACAAAACATTCTTACCACAATACTCTTCGGCTTCTTCGAATTCATCTATTGAATTATCTAAATTACAATAAATACTATCAACTAACTTCCTAGGACTACTAGACTGACTCGCAGCTTCTCCTTCGTTTGATAACTGACTGCACAATGAGTCTCTATCTCCATTTAGTGAAGTCTCGGAATCACTCAAGGATTCCTCTAACAGAGAAAGGACATTTTCGGCAAGAGATTCATTCGAACCACCGTAAGTATCACAGTATTCTTGTTGTTCGATAACTTCCAGAGGAGGAAAAACTGGAGTATGAAGAAAGTCTTCCTAAATACAAAAAAACAATTACAATTTAAAATGTTAAATGCAATTTTTTAAACATTTACATGTATTGTATTTTTCATTATTATAGTTATGCATTACAATATTTATGTAATAATGACTTTTTTTATTTTAAAAACTATTAACATTACTTCAGCATTTTCTGCTCCTCCTTCTACAAGTAATCGTTCACATAACTCTGGTGTTTGCTCTACTAGTGGAGTAGATGTTGTGCTATCGGTCTGAAGCAAACACGATGACCAAGAAGAAGGTGATGACAGAGGAAAACTGAATGGATGGACAGAATCAATAGGACTACCTTCAACATCCACTGCTGTAAAAATTCAAATGTTATACAGAATACAAATTAAAAAAAAAAAAATTAATTATAAATCTTCAGTTGATTCATATATTAATTAAAAATAAAATCTTAACAAATATGTCTAACTTAAACTAGAGTCCTCTTTTCCCAGATATGTCTTCTTTTTGAACAAAATCTTTGTACAAGAAGGTTTTTATAGATATATAAGTAACAAACAATAAAAAAAAAAATTAAAAAGGTATGTACTTTTGTATTTTCTTGCTTTTTTCGTGGTACAATAAAACTTTTACCTAGAATGCTTCAATGCATTTCTGAGGCTATTATGACTTAAAAAGGGCTGCAAAGAAGAGGGACTATTGGTTGCAGCAACAAGAAATAGTCTTTAGTAATGGATAAAGACTGATTATCTATTCCAGTGGACTCATCTTAAAGCAAACACTGATAAAGAGAATTTTGCTGTTGCCCTGGCAAAATGCCACTGTCACAATGTTAATTTTAATGTGATAAAGCAAACAAAAACTTTAACAAAATTCATTAAACCATAAATTAACTCTAAAACCTCAAGAAATAACCCTACTTCCAGTTACGGTTGCTTTTTACAGTTTTTGATGTAAATGTTGAAAATTAGTACTGGAATAAATGTTCTATTTTGAGTAAAATAGATTTTTTCCTCTTACTAAACAAAGATGAGTTTGATCCTGATTGTAAAACAATTCAAATAATTTTAGTGAACCATTTTACTGTATAGGGGTTAAACTTTAACAATGCCCACTCTTTTAAACAAATGTGGGTCCATGCAAACGTGTTAGTTTGCATATTAACGAGTGCATACAATGATGCAAGGTTTGGCTACTTTGCACCAAATTTGGCTTGTTTTTACTCTTTCAAGCCTAAATTCCAGTTTCTGCTCTATTAAAATCGATAGAACATTAATAAACCTGTGTGTAATCTGGATACGATTTAATTCAAAGACAGTTAAATGTTATATTTAATCTGTTTAAGTGAAAATAGAGTTGCATGAATTGTTTAAAATAATTTTAATTAATTACAAATAATGTGCTAAATACGAAGATAAATTGTATTAAAAATTATAAGAAAATATGGTAAATAAAGCACATACTCATCATTTTATGTATCTCTTTTCCTTCACTCATACATAGTTGATCATTTAAAAATGCAGCACCAAGAAGATTAAGATCTTCTACGGAAGATTTTACTAAAATACCAAACACTTCGTTTGATCTCCAAGCCATTGGGATGCAATATTCTTCTACCTGGAAAGATTAAAATGCTCAGAAATTAAATTCTGTTAATTCAACTACATTAAAAGCATACATTTAGGTTACTATATTTAAAACATATTTACAATTGAATTAGTAAAAAATTCACTTAATTAAAATTTATGTAGTTATTGACAAATTTAATAAGTAACAGCTGCGCTTCTTTCGTAATTAACGTTAAAATACATAAATTTTGTTTCTAAAATATTTAAATCATAAAATTTCCGAAAAATTTATTTAAAGAACAGAACGAATGGTGATGACATTTCTTTTTTAGAATCGAAAATTAAATTACTATTCTGAAAGTGCTTACATGTTAATAAACTAAATTTTGTATGCATTATATATATATGCATTATTTATGCATCTATTATATACAGAGAGGTATATAGTTGTTATTATGGAAAAAATATAGAAGAAAAATATTTTTATGCATAAATTATATCACAAATAAAAAATACAAAACAATAAAAGGATATCAAAACATCTGTATTTTTCAGATTTACAATCGTAAACCTACTTTTGCATCATTCTGTGTAATTTCTACTTTATATAAAAACTTATAAAATGTAAAAATAATAATATACTCAATAATCCTGTAATTATACTCAGGTATAAAGTAATACAATAATCATAACCTATACAGAAGAATGATCATAACCTATAAAGAAGAATGGTAATGAATATTTAAATCATTTTTAATGTAATAACTATTGAATAATTAAATTACAATAGATTAGTATTAAAAATATTTAGATAAAAGAATATTAAGTTCCATAGCTTAGCATTTCCAAACTTCTTGGTAAAGTGGAGCCCTTAAACAAGGAAGAGTTTGTTTTTGCAGAGCCCTCACAACTCATCATTATCCTTTGTTAAAAATTTGTACAGTTGATATAGAAAGAGACACAAGATTCTAATGTTTTATCTTTTATGACAATTTCATTGAATGATTAAATTAAAATAGATATAATTGTTTATTAATAAACAACTATATCTATATTTTAATTTAATCATTCAATGAAATGTCAGTTGTATAAACAATATGTGATAAGACAAACAACTACTGTGACGAGATGTACCGACAACTGAAATAAAATAACTGCTCACTTAAAAATAGTTATAAAATAAACAAATGACACATATGATTCATTAACTTTAAAAATGTTTTAAAAGACTGACATAGACCTAGAATTTCAATTTGGGAAACACTGTCATAGCTCACTAGTAGCAGAGTGATTCTGTTGAAGACTACTAAGAAGAGAGAATCTACTAAGGGAGTCCTTCCTTCTCATCACCTAACTCCCTTCAGTTTAGATAAAATGTGCCAAAGTAGTTGATATAAACGTTTATAAGGCATTTTCAAGTCAATTGGTAAGGTACTGATTCATAAAAAAATTATGAGTACAATGGATAATGTGTATAACTATTCAGGATGATGTAAATTTGCACACTGTAAGTAGATCTTTTCTACAAAAACAATAGGTAGATTTAATACCAGCTCAAATTTATTTAATTATTATTAACTGTATTCACAAGAAAAGAGAGAACAGAAATCCTCGAAAAGGTCAACAGTCAAAGTTCGAGGATCAATGATCTGGACCCACTATTTATTATTATTATTAATCATAAAATAAAAAGAACATTTTTTAAAAGCCATAATACTTTCAATTAATGTATACTTTAAATCAGAAATGGGCAATCTTTTTCTATGTAAGGGCCGTATTTAAAACTTTTGAACTGACACGGGCCACATACAAGAGAAAAGAGGAAAAAAATGTCGGTAAATCACAATTATTTATTCATATATATATATAAATTAGCATAGATATACTTAATTTAACTTCTGGAACTGATGTAAACATAATATATTGGAAATGTTTGGTTAAATATTAGTCATTGCTAGCTTTAAATTATTTTTAATGCATCTGCTAGCTTGTTTTTTTGTTTTAATTTTTACTAAATTCTTTGTGGAAAAACTATTCATATACATAAGTTGTAGAAAATGACATTTGAATTTTTACTGCATACACCCTTAAGCTGGGAAATTGATATATTTATTCATATTTTACGCGGGCCACAAAAAATATTACTGCGGGCCGCAGGTTGTCCATTCCTGCTTTAACTTCTGGAACTGATGTAAACATAATATATTGGAAATGTTTGGTTAAATATTAGTCATTGCTAGCTTTAAATTATTTTTAATGCATCTGCTAGCTTGTTTTTTTGTTTTAATTTTTACTAAATTCTTTGTGGAAAAACTATTCACATACATAAGTTGTAGAAAATGACATTTGAATTTTTACTGCATACACCCTTAAGCTGGGAAATTGATATATTTATTCATATTTTACGCGGGCCACAAAAAATATTACTGCGGGCCGCAGGTTGTCCATTCCTGCTTTAAATCATGCAAACAAATTAATTATGTAAAATAATATATTTCTGATACTATCGATTTAGTTTTTTGAATACATTGTAGCTTTCGGTCAATAGAAAAACATTTAATTTTGATACAACACAGTAAAATTATTTAAATTTAAAATGTTAAGATATAAAAAATAGCTTATTTGCATTTTCAAATTTAGGAATTTCTCTACATTTAACCTCTAGAAACTATATTTAAATATCAGATCAATAAACCGAACAAGATATGATAATGTGATTGAAAATATTTTGTGGAAGTAAATGGTTTTGTTTTCTTAAATTATGAAGTATTTTTTGGTTATAAATAGTCAATATTTAAGAAAATATATGATTTTTAGTGTCTAAATAAATATTACAAATAGTTTATTATGTTTAATACACAATATAATTAAAATTTTTGCATTAAAAATAGCAATTTAAGATTTATTAAACAAAATAATCATTTAAACATATCATAAATATTTAAAAAATAAATTTTATCAACAACATTAATAAGTCATAAATAAATCAAACGTATGTACGTAATATATAAAAGCTGAATTATTTCCGAGCTAAAATTAAGCTAATTTTAATTAATTAAATTATGCAAATTAGCTTAAAAGGTTATTAGCTAAGAGGCTAAGTTACCGTCTTGCATTAGGATTAACTCTTCTACTCTCATTGCAACTCTTATATATTGGATCCCTAGCCTCAACATATTTATACATACAGTATATAGGATATATATAAAATTCCATTTGAATGTAGGATGTCACTCATATATTTCTGATAGGTGGTATATACAATGATGTAACTAAGAGGTGAAGTTCGGCATGTGCTCGGGGCACAAAGACAAATCCATGAAATTAAAAGCTCAAAAGTTTTTCGTAATTAAGGGGCATCAAGTATGAGGTTTGTCTCGGAAATGCCAAAACTATTCGGCACAGCTTCTATCACGACAAGGTTTGATCGTCCTGTTACGTGTCAACCAAAAATGAGATCTTGCATAATTTACATTACCCAAGACTTGGAATAATAAATTAAATTAATAATAATCAAATTATTCTATGAATTTCAAAACAGATCCAGATTTGANACAATTTCATTGAATGATTAAATTAAAATAGATATAATTGTTTATTAATAAACAACTATATCTATATTTTAATTTAATCATTCAATGAAATGTCAGTTGTATAAACAATATGTGATAAGACAAACAACTACTGTGACGAGATGTACCGACAACTGAAATAAAATAACTGCTCACTTAAAAATAGTTATAAAATAAACAAATGACACATATGATTCGTTAACTTTAAAAATGTTTTAAAAGACTGACATAGACCTAGAATTTCAATTTGGGAAACACTGTCATAGCTCACTAGTAGCAGAGTGATTCTGTTGAAGACTACTAAGAAGAGAGAATCTACTAAGGGAGTCCTTCCTTCTCATCACCTAACTCCCTTCAGTTTAGATAAAATGTGCCAAAGTAGTTGATATAAACGTTTATAAGGCATTTTCAAGTCAATTGGTAAGGTACTGATTCATAAAAAAATTATGAGTACAATGGATAATGTGTATAACTATTCAGGATGATGTAAATTTGCACACTGTAAGTAGATCTTTTCTACAAAAACAATAGGTAGATTTAATACCAGCTCAAATTTATTTAATTATTATTAACTGTATTCACAAGAAAAGAGAGAAAAGAAATCCTCGAAAAGGTCAACAGTCAAAGTTCGAGGATCAATGATCTGGACCCACTATTTATAAAATTTTTACCTGTGTTGGTGTAAGAGAGTATATCGTGTAACAGTTAGGTTTCAAACATAACTGTAGATTGTCTTTTATACTTCTGAATAATGAGGATGGACCAGATTCTTCTTCTCCTGTGTATATAAATATATTTGGCGGCTTGGAAGATGCATCAATTTTAGGAATATTATTTGTTATAAAAATCATTTCATCTAAATCAGGAATGGGCGAAAAAGAACCTTCTGCCATTGCTTCTCCAGCTAGAAAAGTTTAAAATATAAACTAAAATCACATCGATTATAAAAATAAAAAATATCTACAAATTTTAATAGAAATTTTTAAAAAATTATTTAAAAAACAGTACGAAATGTTATACTGAATTGTTAATGTTGGAAGTTATTTTAATCTATAATTTACAAAACATTCTTACCACAATACTCTTCGGCTTCTTCGAATTCATCTATTGAATTATCTAAATTACAATAAATACTATCAACTAACTTCCTAGGACTACTAGACTGACTCGCAGCTTCTCCTTCGTTTGATAACTGACTGCACAATGAGTCTCTATCTCCATTTAGTGAAGTCTCGGAATCACTCAAGGATTCCTCTAACAGAGAAAGGACATTTTCGGCAAGAGATTCATTCGAACCACCGTAAGTATCACAGTATTCTTGTTGTTCGATAACTTCCAGAGGAGGAAAAACTGGAGTATGAAGAAAGTCTTCCTAAATACAAAAAAACAATTACAATTTAAAATGTTAAATGCAATTTTTTAAACATTTACATGTATTGTATTTTTCATTATTATAGTTATGCATTACAATATTTAT